GAATAGAAAGATAAATAAGTGATTCAGAAAGATTATCATACGCGAGTTTTTATTACCCCCAAAACCCCAAAACCCCATATGAATGAAAATCGAAAAATGAGAGAGCGAAGGCAAGTTAAATAAAATTATTTGCTAGTTAGTAAGTAAGGGATATAAATTATAATTTTTAACTATTTTGAGATCCTTAAATAAGGTATGAAAGAAAAAAATATCGGCAAAAATAATGCCTCAGTGGATACTGAAAGGGAGAAAACCTCCTATGAGAGATTTGAGGAAGAAGTCAAAAGCACCATATTTAATGTACTCTACGTCCTCCTTAAGGATGATGAGACTTCTCATTGGAAGCACATTGTACTGATCCTGTTCGACTTTTTTTAAATATATTATTTCTCGTTTTCAAGTTAGGTAAATTTCACCTCATTTTTATTAATTTCTAAAGCCTGAATTCCCTTGGAAATCTGACAGTGTGCTATACTACGTTTAAGTGTTTTTAAATTTCTTCTAAATCAATTACTGGCTTGCCAAATTGGATGTTACAACTTACCTGGTATTCTTTTACATTTGCATTTTCATAATTTGCCTGGTCATACTTGATATTTTCTATGTATCCTACAGCTTTTCAAAGAAGAAATTCTCTTTTGTATGGCCTCTATAGGCTTTGAGAAGCGTTTGTGGACTCTTTGTGACAGTCTTATTCTTGCCACTTTTAGGTAAAAATCTTCCATTTTTTCTCAATTTAAATTATTCAATAAATAGAAACATTCACATCAATGATCCATTGCCATGATCACGATGGCCATATGATAAATACACTTTTCCCAAGCTTCATCTGCTGGCATGGAATGCACATAATTCACGCTACATTTTCAATCGTGGTTTCCTTCATTTTCATCATTATTTGTATTATTGTCTCCTTGACCTATTTCGACACATAAAGTGCGTCACATGATATAACTTCAAGGGTTAACTCAAGAGCAGACGTTTTTGTTATATCACTAAAGATTATTTTAACTTATCTGTGGGTTTTTCTAGGAACAAAACCTTACTAATGGTTACTTATTGTAGTGCTTTTGATACTTTCTTACACAGCCTATGCAAACTTTAGAAATAACTGGCCATATTTTAACGATAAAATGAATAAGTTCTTCTGTGTGCTAACTGGTGCATTTCTTTGGGGGAACTTTTGCCTTTTTATAGCTAAAGTATTAGAAAACACATAATTCAGTGGATCACTTCAGCTATATTTCCTTGGGTTACCTTTAGTAATTGGACTTATTGTATTCGATAAAGATGAAAGAGTTAAACTTTTACTCAAGAATATTAACAACTTTTAACGAGGTGAGGAGGTAGCACTTCAAATAAGGTTTCTTTTACATCTTATAATAACAAAAGATCATAACCGAAAGAATGCAATCATTTTAAAAGGCTATATTTATCATCATGAAGACTCTTGCCCAAATTAAGAATGTTAACTCAAGCTCTATAAAAATGGACTTATTTAAAATTCTAAGAACAAAAAGATTGCTAAGAAACATGCACAGCTCTCATAAAACTACGACAATCAGCAATTTCTATTATAACATGCCAGAAATATGTACAGAGCTGGCATTCAAAAATTCCCAACATGCACTCCGTTGAAAATTCAGTATGCTTTCTTTTTAATGGAGAGAATGAATAAAAAATAAGAGGCAATTTAGGAATTAGCTTAGGCGGAAATGTTTAACCCTCCATTTGATGAGCAATTCATTATCTATAGATATCAAAAGATGAGTGAAGATTTTGGTGATAATCCACATGAAAGTCACGGAGGTGGCCTTGATGTCGTAGCTAAGTTCGCCTATGAATCAAGTTTAAGATAATTTCAATAGCATATAGAAAAATCGGCATAACTCCACTATGATTTTTGGAATCACTTAAGAGAAGACAGGCCAGATATAGCAAAATTGAATGAATGTGGATCAAAAATTAATTAGTCTATTATTATGGTAGAACAGTATTGGAGCTAGCTGCAAAAGTTGAATTCTAATGCGCCTAAGGCACTTAAGCTATATGCTAAGTTTTTAATAGAAATTCTAAATGATAAAGAAGGTGGTTAAGAGCTTTTATCAAGAGCAAAAGATGCCACTAATGTTAAATAGAATTACTACGATGCGAATAATATGAATGAGGACTTGAGCGATATTAATGCTATGAGTGCAAATGGAACCCCGTGTATCTACGTTACTGGAGATAACGACAAGATTGGTATGATAACATAATGCAACTCAGGAGCATGCAGAATTTTCGGATATACTGCTGGAGAAATGAAAAATCACAATGTAGAAAAATTGATGCCTGAGATGTATGCAAAAAATCATTCGAAGATTCTAGATGATGCTTTATCCAAGGGTCCCGAGAATATTCCTAATAAGGAGAGACTAGTGTTTGCAAGGCACAAATCAGGATATATATTCCCAGTATGGCTATAACTAAAAATGGTGTAAAATGCCTCAAGTGGGATTTAATTTGTTGCACTTTTCAAAATTGATAAAAAGATAATGAGTTCTAACATAGCCTACGTTTTACTAAATAAAGACAAGAAAATACAAGGTATATCATCAAGTTGCATTAAGATTATGAATCTTGATATTTAAAAGATGAGAAGATTGAGTATGTCTGGAATTGATATCAATAAACTTGCTCCAAGTCTATTTGACAATGATCATGGTGATTAAAACTTTACATAAAAAGCTGGAGGGAATCTCGATTGGTATTTGACTGACTTTGAAAAAGTTAAGAAGCCAGGTAAAGCCTCATCTACCAATAAATGGAGTGACAATAGTGCAACAACGAAAAATGGTAGAGAAAATGAGCAAAAGAAAATTATAATATCAGACCAAAAAATTATCTTATCTTGTCATTAGAATGTTATTACTATGGGTGAACTAGGAGAAATCGGATGGTATCTTAAGCTTGAAAACAATGTATAAAACAAAGTTAATTCAAATCAAAGGAAAGATAAAGAGAAAGAGAGAATCAGATAACCTCTCTTTTAATTTAGGTATGATGCAGCTATTGGCAGATTTATAAGAGAATTAAAGGAAGCCTAATATATAGACAATGCAGCTAAAAATCCAAACTTTGTGAATGGTAGATGGACCACAATGATTGGAGAATTAGAGGATATTCCTCCTTTGAAAAATCCATTGCAAGGCGACATCGATAAACAAGAAGCTGATCCTGAAGATGTAAAATTAGAGTTAGATGAAAAGAATGATGCCAAAAGAAATGAAAATGAGGATTTATTTGACAAGAAAAGGAGATGGGCTAAAGGAATACAAATTTATAAACTGGTTGGAGGTAAATTTTTACCAAAAGATTATGATGAGGATATTAAGAAGCTATAGCAGATTGAAGAAGAATAGAGGAAAAAGAATGAAGAAGAGGATAAGACTACTCAAAATGTTGATGTTTTTAAAAATAACATTAAATCTAGGAAAGCTCTCTAAATGGCTATAAATGACAAATCTACTCCAAGAGCGATTAGAAACTTAAGAATAACAATGAACCTTGTAATGCTCTGCTTATTGGCACTTGCAATTACAGAATTCTCAGTAATAAATTCATAGTTTAACGATATCAACGAAAATTTCAACCTTATTCAAAGATCATACGGTAGAATCTCGGAAGTTCAGAGAATCGCATACAATGTTAGGACGCTAATTATGATAAACGAAAAGAAACAGACAGTTTATAAAAATTATACTAAATAGCCTGACTTCGTTACTTTCCTTTAGAGTGACATAGAAGAAGCGCTGAATAATCTCTACGACCTATAAAACTCGATATCATTAACTTCTTTGTCAATGTCGGATAAATAGCATCAATTAATTGATTCAAAAACAGTAAATCTATATTTTAGAGACTAGGATGAAACTTTGAAGACTTTAAGTTTTTCTTTAACTGAAGCGGTTCTACAAGTATCAAGTGCTGTTTTTACAGCAAGGCATTTAAATATCACAGACTTTATTGAAACACAAGAAGATGTTTATTTCATTACCTATAATGTATACAATGATTTTCTTGTTGCTCTTAGATAGTCTTCACTTTACTATGTATAGGATTTACATGATCGAACAAAGCAAAAGAATGAACTTATTCTTATCCTTTTCTTATCCTCAGTAGGTACAATGATACTAACAATGGCTATTTTATTCCCAGTTATTAGTAATGTAAATCTTGCAAGAATGAAGGTACTGTCTCTTTTTGTAGATATCCCTAATCATCACGTTTTTGCACTTGGATTTAAATGCGAGAAATTTATAACTTCATTCCATGATGAACATAATGATGAAATAGAATCGGAGGATGGTGATGCAAAAGTTGATGACTCAGATGTTTAATTGAACAATTAAAACAAAAGAGGAGGACACAAAATGCCTAAGAATTCAACAAGATCAAATAGGAAATTCTTCTTTCAATTTGGAACCGCCGTCTTTGTAGTGACAGCATACTTCTTAGCTATGTTCATCCTCTCTTTGTAATACATCAGTAACATTTAAATAATTACTGAGGAGATGAATACCTTAGCTCAAGCCGAGTCCTATTTCTCATTTTCATAAAATGTGATTAGGGAAATGATCTATGATCCTGAAAAACCTATTCTAAATCATAACAGTTACGAAGTGGCTAAAGATTCAATTGACCAACTTTACAAATTAAACTAGTTGATATTAAAGGATCACTTTAAAAATAGAGACATTTTAAAGGATGACTACAAAAGTATCTTCTCAGATATTTACCAGTCTGATGTCTGCAAATAGACAGACACTATCAAGCATGATCTTATTCCATTTGATTGTGTAAACTTTATCTCAGGAGCTGCAACTCATGTAATTTTAAGATAATTAATAATATTTTAGGGCCTTTAAACAGTATTAGTGAGGTATTTTGAGACGCTAAAAGATTTGCTCAAGACCTATGTGCTTTTCAATGAGAAATCCTTTGATGTGAAAACTCTTTTCAATTCAAACACCTTCCTTGAGCTCTACATCATTCAATTCAGGTATATTCAAGATTCCTACAGAAACTTTGTCTCAACTCTAAAGGACTCAGTTAATTCTGATTTCCAAAGCAGATCAGACACTAGAATGGCCGCATTCATTGTATTCATTATTGGAATAATAATCTGCTACTTAATTTTATGGACACCTTTCGTCAATAAACTGAACAATGAGGTAACTATATTTTAAGATTTTTCATTCTACTCTAGATATGGAGAACGAAGTCAATGCTTACTATTATTCCAATCGAAGTTATCTTGAAGATCCCAAGAATTTAGGAATTCTTACATAGCTAGAGCTTTTTCACCAACAAATCTTAGAGCACAAGCTCTTGAAGAAGTAGTAGCATGAAGATTTTTCTAAGATGGAAGATACTCGTCAATATTTTATTAAATAAAGAAAGAATCTCTATCTAACTATTAGATTTTATTGAAATTAACTTTCTTAACTAAATTTAATATATTTTATCAATGTTAATGTTAAATCTATCATCATCTCCCATTTCTGGCTGAGCTTTTCCCGTTAGCTTGTGCCTTAAGCTTTTCATTTGAGTTACCACTACTAGATCCACTCTTTTTGGCATCGAATTCAACCTTAGTCTCATCGTTTTCATTTTCAAAACTCATCTTAGTTTTATCCTTGCTTTCCTTATCTTTAGCTTCTTCTTCCTCACTTGAGTCTGATTCTTCCTGTTCATCTTCCTCTTCTTCTTCCTCATCACTTTCACTCTTATTTTTAGCTTTGAACTATGAAGGGGGAACTTTAGCGTTATTTTGATTCTAGTATTAGTTACCATCATTTGAAGCTCCCTCGGCTACAATCATACTCGGCTAATAACTATTTTTATTTCTTTCAATAGTAGTTGCAATAGGCTTCTCAAGTTTATCGACAATTGTCCAATCAAAGACATAGTCATAGTCATATCCCTCCTTTTGCATTAAATCTACGAAAACTTATCTCAAATATGGATAATCTGGTTTGTCCTCAAATCTCAAAGATCTGCAATAGTGTAAGTAATTGGAGAATTCAGCTGGCAGTCCAACTGCTATCTGCTCAATAGGTAAGGCTAGTTTTGATTCCATAATTTTCTAATATTTTTCTTGCATAACTTAGACATTAAGGTTCTGCCAAGCTAAAGAACCATTTGCAAGATAGACTAGTACATAGCCAATAGACTCGAGGTCATCTCTTCTAGATTACTCTATTCCGAGATGGGCATTTACACTAGCGTAACGTGCAGTGCCTGTGAGATTTTTGTTTTCTTTATAAGGTATATGCTAATGAGTTTTGCCATCTCTATACCTCTTTGCAAGTCCAAAGTCAATCATGTGAACAATGTGAGACTTTTTACCTAATCCCATCAAGAAGTTTTCAGGCTTTATATCTCTATGAACAAAATTTTTAGCATGTAAACGAGCTATTGTCCCCAACTATATTTAAATAATTAGGTTTCAATTTTATTACCATTTGATGAGCAATCATGAGGACTGTCTTTAACGAGAATCTTCCACCACAAAATTTGAATAAATCCTCAAGAGAAGGTCCTAAGAGGTCTATAACCATAATTTATAATCCTTTGTCTCTATTGCCTTCTTATCCACTCCAATAAACTTATGGGAATCCCTTCAAATGATGATTATTTTAGTGAAGACTTCTAAGCAATTTAGCTTCATGTGCAAGTTATGGATTCTTTATATCTTATTTTTCCTATTACAATCATTAGATGTTGTTATTACAATCTTAATAGCAACATAGTCTCCTGTCTCAATATTTGTACCCAATTAAATTTATCCAAATGAGCCTTCACCAAGAGTTCTACCAACTAAGAATTTTTCTCCAATAACTATTGAATCAGGTGGAAGTTTAGATATTATTTCGGATGGACTCATTTTCGTTGGACCAGCAGCACCATGTAATCCAGGGGCTTGACTCATATCTTTTTTATCACCATGCTATAGTTGGATTGGCCATTTATAATTTAAGTATAAGAAGACTTACAGTTTTATCTACCATTGAAAGGTATTATGTATTGATTTTATTAAATTATTTGTAATTGTTATTAACTTTAAGTTCCATAGCGATGTTTATTTTAATTAATATAAGAAAAAATGCTAGACAAGAAAACAATGTCTAAATCTAAACAGGATCTAGACAGAGAGAAAAATGTGATATAGCGTGTGGAGGAGGATATCAAGACCACAATATTCAATGTTATATATATCCTACTCAAAGATGATGAGACAACCTTCTGGAGATACTTTCTACTCATTATTATTGATTTCTTATAAATCCTATATTATTCCTTTCATCCAGTGGTAATTTAAAAATGCTTAACTCTACTCTAGATTGAAGAAACATGGAAATCAGATGATTTGATTAACTACATATAAACATTTCTCAGCTTTTTTCATTTCATACCTTGGCTTAATGATATCGATTTAGTTACATACTTGGTGATTTTTTATATATGTGTGTTCATTGTAGCCCTTGTAATTCTCGATTTTTTCTACGTAACCTACAGTGAGAGCAAGAAAAAATATTCATTCGCTTGGCCAATTTAGGCTTTGAGATCAATCTGTTTTTTGCTTAAGACTATTTTATTTCTTCCATTCTTGGGTAATTTAACAGAATTTTTACCTTTAATTTTTAGAGACATTTATATCAATGCTGGTTTGCAAAAATATTGATGGGAAATCGGTACACTACATATTCAATGATTTTTAATGCTGGTCTGGAGCTCATATAATTCATGGAGCGTTTGCTATTTTAACGTTGGCTGTTTTTCTATCTTTATCAATGATTATATCGCTTACATATTTCAAACCAATTGGCTCTCCAAATGATGCATCGACAAAATTAAACTCCAGAGCATCAACATTTGTTATGATTGAAAAAATAATTATGGCTTTCACATTTACTTTTCTGTTTGAGTCATCATACAAATGGTTTCTCATAGTATTGATAAATGTCCTATCTGTTATAGCTTTTATAAGATTTTTAACTGAGAGTCCATATCATAATGAAAGAATTGGGCAAAGTATAAATATTAAAACTGCCATTTTTAGTTGGGCTAACATTACTTTGCTTATTTGTAAAATTCTTGAGCATACCTCTTTCAATGGAGGACTCTAGCTATTTTTTCTGGGAATCCCGTTGATATTCGCTTTAATTATATTAAGGAAGGATGAAAGACTTGATAAATTAATGTTGAATGTAGGGAATTTTTTGAAAGGAGAAGAAGTCATAGATTAAGTAAGATTCTTTCTATCATTAGTAAGTAAAAAAGATTCAGACAAAAATTACGATATCATCCTTAAAGGCTATGTATTTTAACATGAAGATGCTTGTCCTAATGATTAGTGCTAATTAAAGCAGTATAAATAAAGCATACTTACATCCTCTTTTAATAAAAGCTAAAAAGATAAAAAGAAGAAGCAGTAATAATAGTAGCAACTACAGATGATTTAAAATGTGGACAATTAATAATTACTGATGTCTCATGCTAAAAATATGTTCAGAATCGGAATTCAGAAATTTCCTACTAACTCATCACTTAGAATCTCCTATGCATTTTTCTTGATTGAGAAAATGAACAAAAAGAATGAAGCGTTAGCCGAACTTAATATTGCATAGAATCTAGATCCACCATTTGATGAACAATTCATCATATATAGATGTAAAAAGCTAAGTGAGGAATATGGAGATACTCAAGGATCAAATTTCAATTAAGGTGTAGAAGATAAGAGCAGATAGAACAGCAAAAGTAATTTAGATTTGATGAATCGATTCGCGTATGAAAGCAATTTTCGATAACTAAGCATACATATTGAGAGATGTGCTTAGTTTCATTTAGAATTTTGGAATCAATTAAGAGAAGAAAGGCCAGATGTTGCTAAGCTTGGAGAGTCTGGTTCTCATATAAATCAAAGTATCAACCATGTTGATTCAATCTGGAATTAACTACAAAAATTAAACTCTAATGTTCCCAAAGCCTTAAGACTATATGGAAAATATCTTATTGATATACTTCATGACAAAGATGGTGGTATTGATCTACTCTAGAGAGCTAAAGATGCTGCTAATGTCAAGCATAATTACTACGATGGAGGTGTCAACATGTTAGAAGATTTAAATGATATCTAGCAAATGTCTTCTGATGGAACACCTTGCATATATGTTTCAGGGGATTTAGACAAAATAGGAATGATAACTTAATCTAATGCTGGTGCAACAAGAATATTCGGCTATTCAGCATTGGAGATTAAAAATCATAATGTTGAAAAGCTAATGCCAGAAATGTATGCTAAAAATCATTCGAAGGTGCTAGAAGATGCTTTGATGAAAGGACCGGAAAATATTCCAAATAAGGAAAGATTAGTATTTGCAAGGCATAAAAGTGGTTATATATTTCCAGTGTGGCTTTAACTCAAGATGATCCAAAATGTTTAAAATGGAGTATAATTTGTTGCTTTATTCAAAGTAGATAAGAAACTAATGTCATCCAATATTGGGTTTGTCCTTCTGAACAAAGATAAAAGAATCTAAGGCATTTCTTCTTCTTGCATGAGATTATTGAACTTAGACATTTCCAGAATGAGAAGATTAACAAGTTAAGGATATGACTTAAAAAAGCTAGCTCCACAATTATATGAGCATGGAGATGACTTTTAGAATTCAAATAATAAGCAAGGAGTATAGATAGAATGGCTTATTCCTAAATTTGAAAGGAATAAAAATGCACCCAGAATGGCTAATTTTGGAACTATTAAACCTTCTGGACGAAGAAGTAAAGATTTGAAATCTTAAGGAAGCATTCTGACACCAAACATGACTCAAACTGAGGATTCAAGTCCATTTAATACCAATGGGAGAAGCTCAATAAAGTTTGGGCCGACCTAAAATACTGCAAATTTAATATCTCAATCTTATACAATAGTTGAGCAGAGGTTTACTTTGAATGTCTCAGTCAATAATATAATCATGGGAGAATTAGGAGAGATCGGGTACTATCTAAGAATTGATTCTATTTTGAGTGATAAAAAGATTGATAGCCAGGCTATTACTCAAGGTATAAGCCTAAAAAAAGATTTTAAACCGAGTCATAATTAAAACAGAGAAAAGATAAAGCAGCCTCTTTTCCAATTTAGATTTGATTCTGAATCTGGGAGATTTGTTAGAGAGTTGAAAGAAAACATTTATTAGGATAATGCTTTAAAGGATCCAAATTTTATTGATGGAGCATTTGTAACTCCAAACTATTTGGATTTTGATTCATCACCTAGATAAGCTGATAATTCCTCAGAAAAGAATAAAAATTTAACTAAAAAATCTAATGATAAGTTGGATGTCTCAGATGTTAAGATTGATATTAATACATCGAATGATGCTTCTAAAGATAATCTTCCATTAAACACAAGTGTCATCATAGAGTAGTAGCAGCTTTCGAATGAAGAATTATACAATAGAAGGAAAAAATGGGCGAGAGGGATTTAAACCTATCGATTGGTAAACGGTAAATTTTTGAGTCGAGATAATGATGAGGAAAGTAAAAAAGAGAAGTAAATTGAAGATGAGAGAAAAAAGAAGCTTTAATAAGAGGAGACAAATCTACTTCAACTTGATACTTTCAAAAGTAATATAAAATCTAGAAAAGCTTTGCACATGGCTATTAATGATCAAACTGTTCCACCTGCTATAAGAAATCTTAGAATGACAATGAATCTGGTTATTTTATGTTTACTTGCTTTGGCTATTACGGAATTCACAATTATTACTTCATAATTCAAGGATATAAATGAGAATTTCAACTTGATTTAAAAATCATATGGAAGGATATCTGAGATTTAAAGAGTAGCTTATGATGTAAGAACCTTGATCTTAATTAATGAAGGCAAACTTAGAAATCTATAAAGAATGTCAACAGTTCCTTCATTCACTGAGTTTTTAAAACAAGACATTGAAGAAGCTTTAAATCAAATCTATGATCTATAAAACTACATAAGCTTATCGACCTTAAGTGTGTCGAGTTAGCATCAGTCACTCCTTGAAGATAAATAAGTACCTCTATACTACAAGGAGAGTAATACTAGCTTTAAAATTCTAAACTTTTCATTGACTGAATCAGTTCTATAAATTTCATCAGCTATATTTACAGTTCGACATCTGAACCTTTCTGAGTTTTATGAATACTAAGAAGATGTCTATTTTGTAACTTACAATGTGTTCAATGATTTTCTTATCAAACTGCAGTTATCTTCCGAATATTACCTAGATGAGCTTATGAGCAGATCAAATGACAAAAATAAGTTCATTCTGATTCTGTTTCTCTGTTCTATTGGATTAGTAATTATGTCAATGCCTATCTTGTTTCCAGCAGTATCTTCGGTTAATAAGGCTAAGGTTCATGTGTTGTCTTTGTTTTTAGACATTCCAAACCATTTTATCATTGACATTGGAAATTAATGTGAGAATTTCTTGAATTCATATCATGATGACCAATAGATGGATGATTTGTAGAGTGAAGATGATGATATTTAAAAGGCACAGAATGAAAAAGATTTAAATTCAACAGCTAAAAGAGGCATTCACAAATTAGCTAAAAATACAGCACATACAAATAGAAACTTCTTTATGCAGTTTAGTTTTGGAGTAATGGGAATTTTGGCTTACTTTATTGCAATGTTTATTCTGGCCAACAATTATATCAACAACATAGAGATTCTTTCAGATGAAATGAGTGTGGCTGCTAAATTGGAGTCTTATTTTGCATTTACATAAAATGTACAAAGAGAAATGATATATAATAGTAATAAAACAATTCTTAACTAAGATGCTTTTAACGTATCAAGATAGTCTCTTGGGAGTTTATATGCCCAGCTCTAAAGTTTCTTAAATTATCATCACAATAATAGAGGAAAGCTAGAGGGTTCTTATACTACTACATTCTATGATATTCTAAAAAACGATATATGTTCTAACGAGTAGTTTGATCTTTCTCTAGTCCCGGGCTAATGTAGTTAACTATTCTCTAATGCTCCTAGTCATGTAAGTAATTCAAATATTTCCTTTATCTTCTCATGATTAAATTGAAATACCTTTCACCCCTTCAACCATTAATAAATTTACGTTTAGGGACTTGGCTCGGTTATTATTAAGTATTATGAGACATTACGAGAGACTCTAAACAATTACAAGATAACACGCACAATAAATAGCATTCCTGCTACCCCTATTCCGAGTAATATCACTAAAATCAATAACACTCAAACATTAGCTAGACCAAATATGGCCGTTATCTCCTCTACAATAAACTACACTTCTACTTTTAAGAATAATACTGAGTTGCTTAATTCTCAATTCTTTGTGGATTTATATCTGATGCAGTTTCGTTTCATTTAGGAATCTTGTCGAAATTTGATTCAGCTGCTCAAATAAGCTGTAAATGACACCTATCAAAAGAATATTGATACTCGAATGGCAACTTTCATTGTCTACATTCTTGTTATTGCTTTAGCTTATCTTGTTTTATGGACTCCTTTTTTGGGTAAGCTTAACAGAGAGGTAAATTTAAATAACCTAACATACCGTTTAGATATGGCGTACAAAGTCAATGTTAACTATCATTCCGATAGAGATTATAATGAAGATCCCTAAGATCTAAGAATACCTAAATAAATAAGCAATGTTTAATAACAAAAAGCAGTCAAGTTGATTTATTATTATCTTCATTCCACTTTTAAAATCTCGTCAATACTCTTTATATCTTCTGATCTGGGGTTTTGGGGTTTTGGGGTTTTGGGGTTTTGGGGTTTGGGGATATA